AGGTATTAAACTGATAAAAATAGTACTAAACACTCCACTCCTATCTGGTGTCACATTAGCTTGACCGCAGTGCCCCAAATTTGCAGTAAGAGGACCGACCAAGCCCTTCTTCCATCTCCCCTGTTACATAAAATCAATGTACACGCATCACCGATAGGAGACGCTGAAGGTACAAACTGATCGCAAACAATACCAAACACACTAATTCTATCTGGTGGCACATTAGCTTTGACCGCCAAGAGTGCCCTGGGAATTTGCAGTAAGAGGGACCGACCAAGCCTCTTCTTCCATCTCCCCAGCCATAAAAATCAATGCCGTACTACCACCACTGATAGGAGACGTGGAAGGTATTAAACTGATCAGAACAATACTAAACACACCACTCCTATCTGGTGGCACATTAGCTTGACCGCGCAGTGCCCCAAATTTGCAATAAGAGGACCGACCAAGGCTCTTCTTCCATCTCCCTGTTACAAAAATCAATGCCGTGTACACGACCACTGATAGGAGACGTGGAAGGTATTAAACTGATCAGAACAATACTAAACACACCACTCCTATCTGGTGGCACATTAGCTTGACCGCCAAGTATGCCCCAAATTTGCAGTAAGAGGACCGACACCGCTTCCTTCTTCCATCTCCCCTGTTACAAAAATCAATGTCATGGTATTGACGAATACCGATAGGAGACGGAAGGTATTAAACTGATCAGAACAATACTAAACACACCATCTCTATCTGGTGGCACATTAGCTTGATCACAAGAAAGTGCCCCAAATTTGCAGGTAAGAGACCACCTCAAGCTCTTCTTCCATCTCCCCTGTTACAAAATCAATGCCGCACACGCATCACTGATAGGAGACGCGTGGAAGGTATTAAAACTGGATCAGAACAATACTAAACACACCACCCCTATCCGGTGCCACATCAGCTCGACACCGCAGTGCCCCAAATTTGCAGTAAGAGGACCGACCAAGCCTCTTCTTCCATCTCCCTGTTACAAAAATCAATGCCGTGTACACGACCACTGATAGGAGACGTGGAAGGTATTAAACGGATCAGAACAATACTAAACACACCACTCCTATCTGGTGGCACATTAGCTTGACCGCGCAGTGCCCCAAATTTGAATTAAGAGGACCGACCAAGCATCTTCTTCCATCTCCCTGTTACAGAAATCACTGCCATATCCATACAAATTGTACAGAATGTCCAGGATAGTTTTCCAGGGACAAATGTTGTCGCCTGTTGAACGAGGTGACCTTGCTCGGGTCCCAGGTGTACGGTTCCTAAAATGGCTGCCATATACACGTCCACTGATAGGAGACGCGGAAGGTATTAAACTGATCAGAACAATACTAAACACACCACAAATAAGGTTTCTCTCCTGTATGGCTCCTCAAATGATGCTTAAGATTAGAAGCGGCTGAAAAGCATTTCTCACACTCCGAACAAAAATATATTTTTTTAACATTCTCTCCACTTTGAACGAAATGACGTTTGGGAAGAGATTAACATAATTAAACACAGGCAGTAAAAATACAGTTTTTAGCCATACACTGTAACTTTAAAACTACACATCCCATCTTCATAATTACACATTTGGAATCAGCACACTTAAAACATAAACATAACCAAAAATCAGCCAAATCCATCCAGGGGTTAAAAAGTTAGCTGGAGGTCCCTTTATGACCGACTGCAAGCACATTTTCCTGCCCAAAACAGTTCCATAGATTTGGGCTGTGAGGTCGGTCTATTTCAGGCTGAAAAAACGACTAAGTCCCATCGCGAATGGGACTTAGTCTCTGCAGCTGAAATAAGGCTGAAAAAAAGACTAAGTCCCATCGCCGAATGGGACTTAGTCTCTGCAGCTGAAATAAGGCTGAAAAAAACGGCTGAAAAAAAGACTAAGTCCCATCGCCGAATGGGACTTAGTCTCTGCAGCTGAAATAAGGCTGAAAAAAACGGCTGAAAAAAAGACTAAGTCCCATCGCCGAATGGGACTTAGTCTCTGCAGCTGAAATAAGGCTGAAAAAAACGGCTGAAAAAAAGACTAAGTCCCATCGCCGAATGGGACTTAGTCTCTGCAGCTGAAATAAGGCTGAAAAAAACGGCTGAAAAAAAGACTAAGTCCCATCGCCGAATGGGACTTAGTCTCTGCAGCT